CACCTGCCCACGGCCATCGGATGTAGGAAGCCCGCAGGGCTGCGGGCGTTCTCTCCCCACCTGCTCCCTCGCTCCTCAGCATGGACGGAGCCCGCTCTCTCCTGCCGGCTTCATGGAGGTGACACCCTTGGGCAGCAACACCGGGCCGTCCTGCAGGCACAGCTGGGGGCGGTGACAACTGCACAGCTGTTTGACTGCCACCGTCAGGCTAGGGAGCATTCCCGGCACCCCAAAAGGACCCTCCCTGCCCTTCTGCCAGCGGCTTCCTCCCTGACCCTGCGGCCACAGTCTGCTTTCTGTGGCGACAGTCTTGCTTTTGCTGGGATGGCATATACATGGAACCCCAGCGTGTGTTATCCGAGTCTCCCCCCGCCCCCCGCAATGTGTCTCTGAGCTCTGTATGTGCAGGGCGCCCCTCGTCTCGTAGGATCCCACGGTGCAACCGGACCACAGCCCATCCAGCCGGTCGCCCACTGAAGGACATCTGGGTCACTTCCACTTTCTGGCCGTTACAAATAAAGCTGCTATGCACGTTGGTGCCCAGCTCTGGTGTGCACCGAAGTTTTGGTTTTCTCTTGGGCAAACGCCTCCGGGTGGGATTGCTGGATTGAGTGCTACGTGTGTGCGGCATGTTATGAGATCCCGTCAAGCCGGTCTCCAGAGGGGCCAGACCCTTTTGCCTTCCCCTCGGCACGTGGAAGCCTTCCAGAGTTCTCGCCAGTGTTCCAAGGTTCAGCCAATGCCCCGGGCGTACAGCGGGTCTCGCTGTGGGGTTGCCTTTCCCCTACCAGATGGCGAAGCACGTTTTCACCGGCTGGTCGGCCGTCCACGCCTTTCTGTGGATAAAGTGTCTGTCCAATCTTCCCGGTGCGGTCTCCTCTCATTGACTGGTAAGAGCTCTTTACATATTCTAGACGCACACCCTTCACCAGGGGTAAGCTTTGAAAGCATTTCCTCCACTCTGCGGCTTTTCACTTTCTTCACGGTGCCCTCTGAAGCACCGTTTTAAATTTTATTGAGGTCCAGTTATTATTTTTAAAAATTTCTGATTTGTACTTTTGGAATCTTATCTAAGAGATCTTTGCTTAACCCAAGGATGCAAAAGTTTTCTCCCAGAACTTTTACAGGCATAGCTCTTACGTTTCGCTGCATGACTGTTTCTCGTTAATACTTGTGAACATCGACTGGTTAATCTGGTCGATTTGGGCAGGTAGTGCCACGTGAGTTTCCAGGCTCCTGATCTGCGTACGGATGTCTGGTCCAACACCTTCCGTTGAAATGAGTACATTTCTCCAAGGGGTTACCTGGCTCCTTTGCTGAAAACCCACTGCCACAAATGTAATTCTTGGTTTCTGGGCTCTGCTGTCGTGCCGTGACTTCTAAGTCTATCTTTAAGCCAACAGCATTCTGTCCCGACTGACGCAACTTTGGAGGGAGACTCGAAGTCAGGGAGGATGAGCGCCTGACGGGACCGCTTCTCAGCATGGCAAGGGTTTCCTTGGTCCTTTGTACTTCCTTTTGAATTTTAGGATCGGCTTGTTAATTTCCTTAAAAAAAAAAAAGGAGCTACCTGTGCTTTTGCTGGAAATTGCATTGAAAATGCAGATCGATTTGGGGAGAATCGAAATCTTAACATTACTGAGAGTTGGAATGCGTGAACGGGGCACACACAGCTCCATTTACTTGGGTCATTTTTTTGGTCTGATCTCAGTGGTATTTCGTAGTTCTCTGTGAACAGATTTCACACATATTTTGTTAAATTTACCTCCAAGTATCTCAAGGGTTTTGATTCTATTTGTACATGGTATTGTTTTTATGAATTCAGGTTCTCATTGTCCATTGTTAGGATACAGAAGCAGCACTTTTTTTTTTTTAAGATTTTATTCGTTTGAGAGAGAGAGAGAGAGTGTACGCAAGCAGGGGGAGCGGCAGGCAGAAGGAGAAGCAGTCTCCCCACTGAGCAGGGAGCCCGATGCGGGGCTCCATCCCAGGACTCTGGGATCATGACCTGAGCCGAAGGCAGAGGCTTTAACCCACTGAGCCCCCAGGCGCCCCAGAAGCAGGACTTTTATACCTTGGCCTTGTAGCCCGTGTGACTTTGCCAAACACTTGGCAGTTCTGTTTGTGTTTTATAGCTCAGGGTTTTCTATGGACAATAATGTCACCTGTGAATTGAAATGGTCTTAATTGTTCCTTTCCGTGCATGTCAAAGTATAAGCAGAAGGGCTTGGGGGTTTGCTCTCCTTGCCTTATTACATGGAATAAAGTGATGCTGGGGCACGTTCTCGCCTCACCCCGACCCGGTCCCTCAGCACCTGGGTGACTCCTGTTTCCCTTTCTTCATCAGATTGGAGGACCCTGGTCCTGGTTTCCCCAGATTTGCTGTTTGTTGACTCGTGGATGGGTGCTGAATAACATGGCGAGCTCTATCCATCAGCCTAAGACGTTAGACCAACTTTACATTCCAGGAATAAGCCCCGCCTGGCCGTACGCGTCACTCTTCTTTGCACTTGCTGAGATCGGTTTGTGAAGACTCTGTGGGGGAGTCCTGTGTCTGCGCTGCGGACTCATTCTGGCCTTCGATCTGCGTTTCCTACCCTCTCCGCGTCCGGATCTGGTACTGGGATGGTCTCACAAGAGGGATCGGAAGCGGCCCGCTCCTCTGTGCTCTGAAAGTGCTCTGCAGTGTCCGTGCTATTTCTTCTTCAAGTGTTGGGGGCGACCCTCCCCCCAGACCCCTCACCTGCCCCAAGACCAGCACTGGACTGGGCAAACGGAAGCCTGGCCACGAGGGGTTGTGTTCTTGACCCCCCACAAAGATGGGAAGATGAGGGGTTCTGCTGGGAACGTGTTGAGTTTGAGAATTTGTGCAAGTCACAAGGAGAGGTGCAGAAGGGAGGTGGCCTCAGGGCCATGGAGCTGGGGCGGGGCTGGAGATGGGTTGAGGTGGTGGCCTGGAGGACACAGAGTGGCACGTGCAGGGGTCCCACACAGAGCCCTGTGAGACCTTGGTGGGGGGATGGGGTGGGGCTCCACAGAGAAGTCTGAGAAATGGCCCCAGAGGGCAGACCCCAGGAGCCAGGGGCAGGGTGGGGTGGGGAAGGGAAGTGGGAGTCTTGACAGCCAGGAGTGTCAGATGAGAGTGGTAACAGGGCCCAGTGCTGCTGAGGCTACAAGGTGAGTCCTGACAAGTCCTGCAGCCCACGAGACTGTGGTGACTCTGTTCTGCAACGGGCCCTTGGGGACGCTCCTGGGCTAGCCCCCCACCTCTGCCTACAGAGGACCCTCTGCACCTGGCTCACTGGTCTGTGTCCAGGGAGAGCTGGCCACAGGGCCATTTTAGTCCAAGGTGCCAAACGTTCCTTATATCCAGTTGGCACACAGCTCCCCGCCTGGACGCTGACGCTGTGTTTCATGCTGTGAGCCCAACACCCCCCACCCCTCGCCCCGGCCAGGGCCCCAACTAGGGCTGCACACCTTTCCAGGCCCAGGCACTTAGCACAGCCTAGCGAGGCAGAGCGCGGAGCGCGGTGTCCCCTGGCGGAGCTGGGAAAGGGGAGGGAGCGTTGGAACAGCCCCGCCCGCCCCCCAGGCCGGGCGGGCGCTGCAAAGGTCCGGGAGTCCGCAGCGTCCTCAGAGCCCTCCCCGCAGGGTGGGCAGGAGCGGGGGCTGGTCCCGATGGACTGGGGGCCTCTGGCGGTGCCCGGCAGGGAGCGCGCGGCACACAGGCCGCAGGCACGCCCTGCGCAGACCAGCGCCTCGGCCCGGGGGCCCGGCCGCCGCCCCGAGGCTGCGGCCCCGGCGCCGGCTCCCCCGCCCCTACCCTCTGCCGCGCCAGCGTCTTTGCGAGAGAATCCGGGCCTCCACGTCCGGCGGCCTCTGCAGACGCCTCTGCGGAGCCGTCGGGGCCAGTGAGCCCCGGCCCCGCCGCCGAGCCGCGAAAGGCCGCCCGCGCAGAGGCCCGGGAGCCGCCGGGGGGGGAGTGGGGGGCGCTGCTGTGTGACTCTGGGTGAGTTCCTTGACCGCGCTGTGCTGGTCGCCGCGGACACCCCGGCGAATGCAGCGGGGGCCAGCGGGGCGCGGCCGCGGGAGGCGCAAGGTCACTGCTCGGCCGCTCGCGGCGCCGCCCCTCCCGGGACAGGGGAGGGGGCGAGAGACCCCTTCCGACCGCGGTGATCGGGGCCAGCAGGGACGGCGCGGCGGGGCCGGGGGGCACCGGGGGCCCCGCCGCAGCAACAACCCGGGAGGAGCCTCCGGGACTCCGGCTCCGCCGCGGGAGCGCGGCAGGCGGGGCGGGGTCCGGGCGCGGGCGGGAGGAGGGCTGGGGTGAGGACCGCGGAGCCGGAGACCTCCAGGCCCGGCCCCGCCCCGCCCTCGCCCCGCCCCTGCCCCGCCCGGGCAGCGTCTGCCTCGCCCGGCCCCTCCCGGCCTCGCCTCACAGAGTCCGGCTCTGACGAGAGCTTCAAGCGGCGGGGCGGGCCGAAAAGCGGAGCGAGGAGCCAGGGCGCCGCTGACTGGTTGATGCTGCTGATTGGCGGGCGCAGGAGCCACTCGCCGCCACCGCCTCAGGCGGCTGCGCTCGTACGGGCTCGGCTCGGCTCGGCTCGTCCGCTAAGCTCGGCTCGGCTCGGCTCGGCTCGGCTCGGCTCGGCTCGACTCGGCTCGGCTCGGCTCGGCTCGGCCCGGCGGCTCGGCTCGGCTCGGCTCGGCTCGACTCGGCCCGGCGGCTCGGCTCGGCTGGGCTGCGCGGCCGCGGACTGACGGACGGGCGTGCGCGGGGGGCGCGGGGCGCGGGGCGCGGGCCTCGGCGGCGGCGGCGGCGGCGGAAGCCTGGTGCCCCCGCCCGCCCAGTCTTCTCCGAGAGCGGAGGCAGCGCCGCGGGCCGGGCCGCAGCGGAGCCGGGCGCGGGGGGCGGCGGCGCGGGGAGGCGCGCGAGGCGCGGAGCAAGCGCGGCCCGCCAGGGCGCCGCGGACCCGGCCCAGCGCACGGACGCGCGGACGGACGGACGGACAGACGCGGACGGACGCGGCCCCTCCCTGCCGCCGCCGCCCGCCCGCCCGGGGCTCCCACCTCGCCGGCGCCGGGCCCGGGAGCGATGACATCGACGGGGAAGGACGGCGGCGGGGCGCAGCACGCGCAGTATGTGGGGCCCTACCGGCTGGAGAAGACGCTGGGCAAGGGGCAGACAGGTGCGTGCGGGGCCGGGGCGCCGGGGGGGCCGTGCCCGGGGCTTTCGGGGAGACCGGGGCCCGGGGGGAGCGTGAGCACCGAGGGGGACCCGGGACCCGGCGTAGGGAGCCAGGGGACCGCGGCACGGGAGGGGGGGCGCAGGGGACCGCGGACACCGATGGAGAACGGGGGCCGGCGGGACCGGGCCGCCGGGGGACGGGGGCTTCAGGGAGACCAGGGGTCCGTGGGGACCGGGGACACCGAGGGGGCCCGGGGACACGTGTGTGTGGGGGGGGACCAGGGGACCGAGGACATCGAAGGGGACTGGGGGCATGGATGGGGACCTGGCGCCGGGAAGGGCCGGGGGCGCCGGGGAGCAGGGGCGCACAGGCCCGCGACCGGGGAGGCCGTGCTGACTGCGCGCCTAGCGGGGTGGGGGGGGGCGCCCGGAAGGAGGTCGTCCCGAGCGGGGAGCTGTAGGCCTGGCCCGCGGCTCCGGCCGGCGGCCGCGAACAATGGGCGGCTGGGCGCCGGGTCCCGCCGCGGATCCCGCAGGCCGCGGGGCTGCGGTCGGCCGGGCGCGGCCCAAGGACACGCGGCGCGGACTGGGGCGCACGGGCCGGGCCGGACCGGGCCAGCGCCCCTCGGCTCCGGCTGCAGGTGCGCGGCCCCGGCCGCATTGTGCGCCGGAGCGACCCGGCCCATTGTGCCGCGGGAGGAGGGGGCCGAGCGGGCGCCCATCTGCCGTCTGCCGCGGCCGCGCTAATAGGCGTGCTGCCCGAGCAGCTGCGCCCCGGGCCGCGCGCCCCCGGCCGCGACCCCCAACTGCCGCCGGCGGCGGCAGCGGTAGTGGTGGCGGCGGTGGGCAAGCAAGCAGGCAGGCGGGCAGGGAGGCGGCCTTACGCGTCTTGAGGGCCAACCAGGCCACCTTGGCCAGGCTCAGACCTTCCTCCACGGTGGGAGTGGGAGAGTACCGAGGCGCCCCGGAGGGCTGGACAGCGCCTTGCACTCCTCTAGCCGCTGTTTGGAAGGTCTGCGACACTGAACTCCCCCAGGGGAGGGACAGGGAGGCTGGTACTGGGCCCTGTTCGGGATCCCGGACCATACATCTCCAAATCCCAGCCTGCGGGAGGAGGCAGGGCCCTGGCTGGTCCTGGCTGTCTTTCTGGTGATCAGGCTAGCTCCCAGCCTAGCAGCCATCCCCTCATCCAGCTGGCCAGGCGTTCACAGAGTGGCTTTGTGGGAGGCTGGGCTCAGCCATTTTCTTTCTTCTCCCAGGATGGGCCTCTCCTGGCAGCCCAGAGGTCCGATTGGCACTGACTGCTTCTCCCTGTCTCTCTGGAAGTTCCTTAGACCCAGGGCTGGCAGAGGAGAGGAGGAAGGGAGGAAGAGGGTGCAGCAGTGCTGGTCCCATCCTGCTGGTGCAGGGTGGGGGTCCAGGAGGAAGCTGCTCTGGCCAGGAGGCTGCAGGCCCTTCTCAAGGCCCTTGGGTGGCACGGAGTTGCAACTAGGAGGTGGTGTGAGGGAGGAAAGTGGGCCAGGCCCTGGGCTCTCCAGGGAGGGCAGCGGCTGTGATGGAACTAAGGCAAAGTGCCTAGGAAGGGACCTGGCAGGGGCAGTGGGAGCTGCCTCTCTCCCACTCTGGAGGGACAGCCTCTGTGCCCACCACTGAGACCCCAAGGGGCCTCTGGCAGTGGGGCAGTGCTGTTGGGAGAGGGGATGGTGTGGCCCGGGGTTCAAGGAGGAGGTGGCAAACAGCTGGTGTTCATCTGAGTTCAAAACATGCATGTTTTCTGCAAGGAACAACTGTGGTTGGTGAAGTCCTCAGTGGGGGAGGGACCTGGGGCAGCAGAATATGGGAAGCAGTGAAATAATCTAATTATTGTACCAATAAAATGTGATTATAAGGAAGCGTCGTCGTGTGAGTGGTGACAGCAATGAGTTATACGTGGGCTGTGCTCGCCCGTCTCCATGGCGGGGGCTGGTCTCGTACTCTCCACCGAGTTATCTGTTGTACAGGTAATTATGGGAGGTTTCCACTGTAATTAACAGTAACGAATACAAAAGGATGTGCTGTGCGCGTGTGTCAACAACACGTTGCCCTGTGATGTTTAGAAGCAGCTCCCAGGGGCACACAAAGTGAGCAGCCTTCCTCCTCGGGTCCCTCTTCCCTTCCAGGGGAGTCGCTGCTGGCCTAGTGGAGCCCCCCCGCCGGGGGGGGCTGTCCATCCCGTGTTCCTTCTGGCTTCTTCGAGTGCCGGCAGCCCAGGAGGGCTGGGGGAGGCTGTCCTCTTGGTGCTGTCTCACTGTCCCTTCTGTGGAAGGGTCATCTGGAGTTTGGTGGACGGACGTGAGTCCCTGGGGTGTGGGTGCTCTGGGCCTGGCCCCGGGGCTTGCTGGCTGGTCTTCAACATCAAATGCCAAGAGAGTTGCAGTTTCCTAGGCCTGTCCTTTTGCTCCGGAGATAAACGTGTGACCTTATCTGGGGCTAGGCTTTCTGCCAGGAGACCTCAGCGGAAGAATGAAGGACTGTAGTTCCAAGTGCCACCCCCCCCACAGCCCACTGCAGATGACAGCGTGCCCGGGTCCCCCCCGCCTGCCCCGGACGACAGCATGCCCGGGTCCTCCCTGCTCTTCACGTGCACTCTGCCCAAGTCCTGCAAAGGGGAAGCTGTGGTCGGGGAGGGAGTCAGCTGGGCGGCCGCTGGTCCTCTCAGCCCTGCACATCCTGAGCCAGGGCCCCTTGGAAGGGGTGCCTGCTGCTCTGCTCCAAGCTGCGGCCTTCGGGACTCAGGTGGGGTGGGGAGTGCTGCCCAGGGTGGAGCTGGTGGCAAGCCTGGTCCAGCCTTTTTCCCGCAGCTTTCCCGTGGCCCGCAGCTCTTGGTTGGTGCTGGGCTCTGCAGGCGGGCTCTGTCCTTCGCGTGGGTGTTAGGCCACCTCTCCGGGCTGCTGTGGCTGTGGTTTCCAGCACATCTTCCTTCTGCCTGGGCATCTCCGCACAGCTGTCCTCAACGTTCTGGGGGCGCCTGTGTCGGCAGCCCCAGGAGGCCTCTGTCCCAGCCAGTGTCGTGTTTTCCACTGGGGGGCTGGGTTTTCAGGACCTGCGGGGAGACAGGTGTCACTGCCGAGGCTGTCCATCTGGTCCCTGATCCAGGAAAGGCGTCTTCGCCTGGGGGGCAGAGGCACCTGTGGAGGGTGCTGGCGGGTCCCAAGTGGGCCTGGTAGGCGAGTAGAGCTGGGGGGTGTCGTGTACTGTGTTGCTCTGGACCATTCAGGCCAGGGAGCAGAGCAGGGCCTGCCCAGACCCGAGCCTGACAAACGTGGCTGCGGCTCAGCAACCAGAAGGCCGGGGGACCCCGCTGGAGGAGGAGGACAGTGGGCTCTGGGTGTTGTTTCCGGAGCTGCGCCGCCCAGTAAGATGCGGGGCTCTCGGAAACTCTCTGTCTGCGGGTGGAAACCAAGGAGGCGGCGGCTAGGGCCTGGTGTTCATATGAAGGGTCAGTCCAGCTCTCAAGAGACGTGGGGCGGGGGGCACCCTGCAGCTCACCTGGCTGCCCTGGGAGACTGGTGAGGGGTGGCGAGAGGGAGGAGACGGGACTGCCACACTGAAGGAGCTGGGATGGCCCCTGGAGGTCCTCGAGGGACCTTTAGGAGAATTCCCATGGGGTGCCGGTGTCAGATAGGCTGGAGAGGAGTTCTGGGGTGGGGGAAGCTGGCAACGATGGGATAGGTGAGGGAGGGGGAGACAGGTAGACCCGCGGGTGCCCCATGGCCCCGAGCTGGAGCAGATGGAGCAGGCCCGAGGCAGGAATGGGAGGAGAGGTGCCTGGGGCACGGAGGATGTGTTTGGTTTTAGAAAGTTGAGCAGAAGACAGCTTGAGAGCCAGCGAGAGGCTGTGGGGGGGGGGCCCTGGAGATGGGGGACGGGGGTGGGCTGGCTGGAGTCGGCCCCAGGGTGCTGTTGAGAGCTGAGGCCCAGAGAAGGGGATGCAGCCAGAGCAAAAGGAAGGTAGACGGGGCGGAGAGTGGCTGGGCCTCTGCTGACCTTCTGTGTCTGGGGATCTCTCCCCCCGCCCCGTGAGCCTCCGCCCTCTGTGCAGCAGGCGGGCCTCTGTCTGTCTAAGCCGTCTCCAAGCCAGGACACAGGCTCCGAACCGAGTTCTCTGCTCAGGGACAGCAGCTCCCTGGGGGTGGAGGGAAAGCCCCGCCTGCTCATGGCACAGGCTCGGTTTCAATGTTCAAGTAGCAGGACCCTATTCTCCAGTAGTTGTGGTCCGAGCTCCCCACGCCTGTCTCCCCCGGGGCCCCTGGAGCTGCTGGAAAGGCCTGTGTCCTGCCAGCGACTGAGCAGCACAGGCGCTCCCCAGCCCCCCTCCCACAGTGCATGCTGTCCCCTGGAAGCCCCCAGCTGGGACTGAGAGCTGTCCCTGGGGGGGCTGTCCCTGCCAGTGGAGGGGAGCTCAGCTTGGAGGTTTCTGGGGTCACGCCTTAAAGGATGGGCTGTTTTCTGAAGGTAAAGATGGGAGGGTCCAGGGGGTGGCCTGAGGCCTAGGACCCTGGTCTCAAAAGTGTCCCCTGCCCACTATGGTCGGCCACACCTCTGAGTACCCCCGAGTTTTCATAGGTCCCACCTGCTGGGGAGTTGTGTGTAGCCGGAAGGACGTGCCAGGTGCAGGGCTTGGCCTGGGCAGTGCAAAGGGGAAGCCAGTGCTGCCAGGCCGGCTCCAAGCGCCGAGGCCAGTACCGCCGCCCCCAGCCAGGGCTCCCAGGGTGAGGTGGGAAGAGCGTGTTCTGCGCCCAGGGGCCTGGTTGTCTCTAGAGCTGTCTGGGAACAGGGTGCTCCCCCCTGCAAGGGTAGAGACGGGGCCAGAGCAGGTCGACATGGAAGGCTCTGGGTGGGGGGGCAGCCACCCAGGACTGTGCTTGGGGGAGAGGAGCCACACAGTGAGGTGCTCCCGGTCCTGCCCCCGAACCCAGCCTGCCTGAGCGTGGCCAGGGGCATCCTGACCCTTTCTGGGGT